GTACCATTTTGCAATTTTCGTGATAGTTAACGAGTAATTAATTATTAAAAATCGTTGTCTTAGGCCGGCCTACCGCCCAATTCGAGCGCGTGGCAAGATGTGACCGCCTGGCGATCGATATTGCTATGCGCACATCTCGCTACGCGCTCGAATTGGGCGGTAGGCCGGCCTAGACAACGATTTTTAATAATTAATTACTCGTTAACTATTACGAAAATTGCAAAATGGTACAGGACTTTTCCATTCATCTCGATCCGTTCTACCTTCTCAAAAATTGTGTCGGATATGGAAAGACTCACCCTGTATATGTCTCAATCATGTAATATTTAATTATGTCTCTCAAGATACAATTAGATATTATATTATTGAAACATACACGACGACATTTTTCCATTTTGTTCCCGGGTTGGCTACAGTTTCGCCCGGTAATCCATCTCTCATGATAAAAGATTGGTTCACGAAATAAAACTCACCCTGTACAGAGCAGATTGCGTCAGTATTTAAGGATGAGGATTACGTTCCTTTACTTGTTACATTATAACTTAATAATAATAATTTATAAAACGACAGGGAATAAGGTTGTGAATAGCAAAGGCGATTACTGATAATAGCAGATGCAAATTATCAGTTGCATTGTTTAGAGGGGAGGAATAATTAGTATCTATTTTCTGTAAATTTACAACATTTAAATGTGTTTACGTCGATCTCAATTAGACAGTCTTTCATCGCCTTTTATCATCAAGTCGGATGTTTTATTCAAATAACATACAAACACATTAATCTGGAAAATTGTCTTAGGGACTCTTTGTAATTAGATACGGGTCTCAACTTATCTCAGACAATTCTAAACTTTATGGTTAAGACGTAGATATCATTATTTGGCAAATCATGTTTTATGGCATCGTGTATGTGTGCACAGGGGTTCCCCGTTCCTTCTTATCGCTTCAGTTAAAGCGCCTAGTGTCATCATTCTTGAAGGTATTCATATAAATTCGAATACGATCACGGTGTTTAGTTCATGTATCTTTTCGCAAGGACGACTCTCGCCTTGTGTTACGAGCCCAGAGAATGCAAACACAAGAAACGGCGTGCTTTTTAGAGCCGGTGGGTAGCGTGCGCCCAAAGATTCCGTCAACGGACGACGTGCGCGGTTTCCGGACGTTCGTCGGAGACTCCCCAGCCCTGATGTGCCCAGCACAGGGGTTCCCCGTTCCCCTGTACAGGTAGAAACCACAACACCACGAGCGGACGCGAGTCCTTCGGGATGACCGTTCGTCGCGGATGCGCAAGTTCCCAATTATAAACGGTGTCAGAGCCGATCGGCAGCGTGAGGCCCAAGTTCCCGACGATCGACGACTCCAGGAGCTTTCGCACAACGAAGGACGGCTCGGTCACGTTGATGTGCCCCGCTCAGGGTTTCCCTGTCCCCCTATACAAGTAAGTCGCGCTACACGAGAGCTGCTATGTATTTTTCTTTCTTTCTCTCTTCTTCTCGGGTCTCGTAACCCGTCGCAGAGCCTGTGGGAAGCGTACGTCCGAAGTTCCCCAGCGTCAGCAATATAAATGGCCTCATCACGTTCACGGACGGAACTTTGCCGCTCTTGTGCCCCGCACAGGGTTTCCCGGTCCCGTCATATAGGTACTACATCACCGAGTGCCTTGATGTCACTTCGGCCTTAAAGCGAGTCTCACGTTGGTTCTCCATTAAGAAATTGCGATTAAGTATTCCGGACTTTCGGTGAAACCGCTGGTAATTAGCGATGACGATACACCTGACATCGCGCGCAACGATCCTCTCATTTCATACATCACCGTTCTCTAATTAGCAATGTGGCTTAATATTAATGCGTTTTAATGAAAAGTTCTGACGATTGTATCAACAATTCTATTTTACGGCTCTGTAATTTCGTCCATTTTAATATTCTCCCTTGGTTCGTGTATCTTTTACATTTTTATTACATTGCAGAATTAGAGAGAAAAGCCTCTCTTTGTTATAACTTTTAGAGTTACATGTTAAACAAAATCTGCTTTGATAGTACTAAGTCTAGAGATTCATGCAACATCAGAAGAAGATCGTCTCTATCGCGAAAGTTCGGAAGATACAGATTTAGTTCGGCCTTCAGGGGTCCCCCGTCCTTCTTTACTCAAGTGATATCTCAACCGGCGGTAATATATACAGTGTATGCACCGTTCGATAATGTTTAGAGCCGGTTGGCAGCGTGAAACCGAAATTCCCGACGATAGACGACATCAGAGGGTTTCGCATGATCAAAGGTGGATCCGTCACTTTGTTGTGCCCCGTTCAAGGGTTCCCTGTCCCGATTCAAAAGTAAGTCGAAATTCGCGAAGAAAGTTTCGCGTGTCTCATTGTCGTCTTCACAATTATCTTCTTCTCTCCCGGGCTGCGACTGGCAGAGCCCGTAGCGAGCGCACGTCCAAAACTTTCGAGTACCGTCAACCTGATTGGATTCGTGACGAAGACCAACAGGAGCTTGCCACTTTTTTGCCCTGCTCAAGGATTCCCGCTTCCGTCTTATAGGTAGAGTTGATTATTGAACTGATTTAAATATAAAGTCGAGAACTGTCGTATCCGTTGTTTATGTGAAATTCTACCAATACATTTTTATGACGACAAATTAGAGGCTTTACAGAGCAAGGAACTCGATACGATAATTTCTGACGCGATATTGAAGAAATATTGAATTTCGTGACGCGGAATTGTACACAAACCATCTGGTTAAATAACGAACCGGTGACTACTTCAATGAGTTCAAAGGGTTCCCTGTCCCCTGGCATACATAAGTGGATCATTGTAACGTTGTCAGCGTTTCTGACACGTTTCCTTCCACGCCCGTGGTCTTTTTGTATAATAGAACCCGTGGGGAGCGTACGTCCGAAGTTTCCGACAATGGATAACTCGCGAGGATTTATCTCGAACCAGAGAGACTCTTTGACTCTACTCTGCCCTGCGCAAGGATTTCCTGTACCGTCGCATAGGTGGGACAAGGTTATATCGCGGCAGATTTAGATTTTGCAAGTGACGAAATTATATCGCGGGAGCGAACAGAAGCAACACGAGCAACCGTGTAGCCATCGTATTCGATTATTTAAAAAAAAATTGGAAACATTTTGTAAATTTGACGAACCGACTTTTTCCTTTGACTGACGATAGATTTTTCTTTTTGTTCCGAAAATATTTAGTTATCATTTTAACAACATGTATAATACACTTGTTGATATCATAAAATTGTTGCCCTGTCTCAGCAGTTTTACGTAACGATTGTTCGCGAGGGGAAATAAAATTCCGTCAGTTCAAGTTATCGCATTATCGTCGCGACAGTACGATTGTAGATACGCTCGTGCTTTCTCTTTCGCTTTCTTGTAGAACCAGTCGCCAGCACAAAACCGAAATTTCCGATGACAGAGAACTCGCGTACGTACACAGTTCACTGCGATCGGCCGCTGACTCTCATGTGTCCGGCACAGGCCTTCCCCGTTCCAGCTTTCAGGTATACAAAGCGCCCGCGTCATAAGAAAGCGAATGCGTACTGCAGAGCGAGCGTACTCCGGTTGGCGCACGACGGCAATGCGGAATAATGTAGAAAAGACGAGGAAGGAAATTGCGGACGGATAGACGATATGCACGCCCTGGTCTCGCTCTTCTCTTTTCATCTTTCAATGTCTGTACGAATCAACGCGTGCATCAATTTCCGGCGATCGATTATCATACGCAGAAAATCTAAAACGTTATTTATTTACAATTTACTTCGTAAACTGCAGACTTTTCTTTAACTAAATAAATTACGTTTCATTCAAACGCATACGTTATTAAGAAAGAGATGCCAGTCGTATTTGAATTATAGTAGATTACTGATAGTCTGTGTATGCTGGAGCTCGTTAGCAATTATGTTTAAATTTCATACATACAATTGGTAGCGTAAGTAAGAAAGAGCAAATGTCGCGGTTCTTTGGCATCTTCGAACTTTCGTAGAACCAGTCGCAAGCGCTCGTCCGAAATTTCCGTCGCTGGCGGACTCGCAGACATTCAAAGTGTATCTAGGCGGTGCGATGACGTTACTGTGTCCTGCTCAAGGGTTCCCCGTTCCATCGTACAGGTAAAGACTTCTTTTTTCTTTCGCAAAAAAAAAAAGATCTTTTCCATCAGAACCGGCGTCCAGCACGCGTCCGCAATTATCCGGCTCGAGTGATCTTCAGCGTTTTAGCGTCTCTTCGCAAAACGGCGTTACTCTCCTTTGTCCCGCTCAAGGATTCCCAGTGCCTTTCTATAGGTAGGCGTTCATTCATTATTTTCGACGAGATTTAAGAAATCGACGACTTATGTACTTTTCACGTTTCTGTTTCTCCTACAACATGCCATTTCGTCAGGTAATTAGGTTTTTAATTACTTGACGTAATGTCGTGCGATTGCCTTAGATTTCCTTATTGTTTGTAATTGCAAAAGTTAAAAGTGTTATTACGTTTCCAAAGTAGGTTAATTCTCACGTGCTCGTTGTTAGCATAGAACATCGTTGTCGGCGAAAGGGGTAAACCTATTCCAGCATAGTTAGAGTAACCTGGCGCCGCTTTATGCGTGTCGGACTGTCTAGCGTTCTGTTTTTAGAACCTGCGTCAAGCACCAAGCCTCAGTTTCCATCTGTAAACGACGTTGGGCTACGCGTTACAAAAGGCATGGGCTTTACGTTGTTATGCCCGGCTCAAGCGTTTCCGGTCGCTACGTATAGGTAGGTTGATGTGTGGGTCGATCTCCCGCTATTGTCGCGAAGAGAGGAGAATCCGACGGAGAATATCTGAGGGCTTCTTCTCCCCCGAGGATGGCTACTCTGTCCCAGTATCGATCTCGCGCGTAAAACGAGCTCTGCGGTTAATCTCAGTTTTCATTTCGTTTGCGGTCAAAGTTTTAATGAATTCTTAACTCGTAATGAAACAGTATGAGCTATACAATAATTTACGTTTAATATTGTTAATTTATTATGCAACACTTCCGAGATGAAAAGAAAATCGTCGGACTTTGAAATTAAATTTTGTTTACTTTAATAACACGATGTACGATTAGTTTGAGACTTTGCATTTGATTAGAAGTTTGATTTGTAGAACCGGTCGGTCTCGCAAAGCCCAAGTTCTCCACTATCGATAAAAGCCGCACATTCGAGATCGCGGAAATCCAAGGTCTGACACTGCAGTGTCCCGCCCAGGCGTATCCCGTCCCAGTCTTCAAGTAAGTTGGTGGTCGTAAAGTTCGCGGGGATCATCAATTTCCTACGACGGAACGATTCGGTATTTGCCCGTTTGTATTTCTGGTTACGTAGAACCGTTGTCGAGCTCGAAACCGAAATTAACGGCGTTGGATGTGAAATCGACGAATCCGAGTACGATATTGGACTCCATCGCGACTCTCTTGTGTCCCGTTCAAGGGTTTCCCGTGCCAGGATTCAGGTAAATTGCTCTTTAACTTCATACTCGTCAGGGCACCTCGCTTATCCTCGCCATCTATTTCGGGGTGGTCTTTGATTGCGCCGGTGGTGAGTGAAGTCATCGAGGACACGTCATGGCAGGTGATTATCTTCCCCAGTATTTCGCGACGGTTGCTGAGCACTGGATAGTCAATACGGCGCGTTTGATCGCTATGGAGTTACCTTGTCCCGGTATACGGTTTCTTATACGCTACGAAGGATAAAGTGAGATCGTATTACGATCGATAAACATTTAGGAATTATCAATTTAAAAGAAGAAGTTATTTCGTTGATTCGTAGCTCGTCTATTTTATTGCTGGATATTGCAATTGTGGATTTTAATGGAACGACTAGAAATGTTGGATTTCGTGATAATCACGCAATTACTGAAGATTCACGGATCTGGTTCTTCTTTTGTAGAACCGGTTACCAGTACGAAACCAAAATTTCCAATGACAGAAAATTCTCGCACTTACACAACGTACACGGTGCAACGTGAGCAACCCCTAACTTTACCATGTCCAGCTCAAGCATTTCCAGTACCGAATTACAGGTATATCGAATATATAAAAATTATCTGAATACGTACGGTTGATGCGCGGTTGCGGTGCGGAAAGTGATTGGAGTAAACACGACGGAAAGTGGACATTAAAAGGGCAGCAATCGATTTTTCCTTCCGGCTTAATCGCGTGTCCTTCTGTTATTCAAATTACATTCAGATCTCGCTTAATTCCCCCCGTCTGTCCTCGGGTTTCCTTCGGCGCAGAAATTTAATATCCATCATTTTGTATCTTTATTCAAGTCTAACAGTATGTTAATATTTGAGATGCATATAGAGAATACGTGTAGTATAAATATTTTAGATATAAAAATATTTCTTAAAGTTGTTTTACTGTTCGGCGTTTTGTGTATTTCACTTCTTCGCGTAAAGTATAATTATCTAAAATTTAATAATTATTATTTTTACATATTCATTAAAGTGTGAATACTTTTTTCGCGGAAAAAAATCATGCTCTTTGTTTTCAAAGTGCAATTTTGTGATATTTGCTGTCTCTTCTGGTTCTTCTGCGGGGTTACCTAGTCCTAGCGTTCAAAACATATGTAATATCGACACGTCTAACGTTTCCTCAATGTAGAGCCCGTGTCTAGCGCGAAACCAAAGTTTACGAATGCCGATATAAAAGTGGTGAGGCCGACGCCGAGTTCCACCGCGGTGTCGATGACTTGCCCCGCTCAAGGGTTCCCTGTTCCCATTACACGGTCAGTACGAGTCTCCGTGCCTAACAATGCTTATTCTCGTCCTCGGGCGCCTCTTAGAACCGACGTCGAGCGCGAAACCCAAATTGCCGAGTGTACGTAAAGTCGAATTCATGGAAGCTAGGGCGCATGGTGCGGCGAACCTGATGTGCCCGGTGCAAGGTTACCCTGTTCCAATTTCAAGGTGAGACGCGAATACATTCTGCCGGCACCCTTCGCAATCGTATTATAATAATTGACACTTTAACTGTACGCTCGACGAATTGAACTTCCGATTTACAATGATTTCCAATCGCAGAGATTCGTTCCGATTTCTTAATTATCTACTTGACAATTCACTTACTGTTCGCGATGTCGCGATTTGCCGCGTAAACATGATCGTTTCCGTCACGTTGTCTCTCGTAGAACCGGTCGGGTTTAAGTCACCGATTTTCTCCACCGACGACACTAGCAGAGCCTATCCTAGGCGCATGGGTACGGACGTGGTGCTTGCCTGCAACGCTCAGGGATTTCCCATCCCAATCGCCAGGTAATCTTCCGTAAGAGGTGCTTACGCGCGGATCCCATTTTCGTCGATTTCAGAACCGATTGGCGCCAGGTCGCCTAGATTAACGTCGGACGATTTAAGTCGTACGATCGGAAGGCACGAAGGACAACCCATTAGTATTTTCTGTGCTGCCCAGGGAAGCCCTGTGCCGACTACTAGGTAATAGCTTTTAAATTCATAGTTAACAAAACTGGTTGACTTCGTAAAAATCCGGTTTGTATCGAGTATGCGGGTGAGATTCGAAAGAAGCGACATGAATTTGTATCGACCGACAGAGATCGAGCTTCGTCTTTGAGGGGAAACCCTGTTCCCGCGCTATATGCAAACGGGTGTGTAAATAGATAGTTTTCTAAATAAATGAACATTCTTTAGAGCCCGTCGGAAGCAAAGCACCCGCCTTCGCGGGTGACGCAAAGTTATCTCTGCTGGTGCGAAAAGCGAACATGGACATTAGTCTGTCTTGTAATGCTCAGGGTCATCCTCCTCCAGTATCTAGGTACGAGATTACAGCGTTATCAATTAATGAAGATGCGAGAGCACGTCTTGAAAACAATAATACTACACTTTTAATCTTCGCAGAAAGGATTGCTAGATTGTATTTTAGAGCCGTTCTATTAAAACAAATCAATTTAATAATGCGTAACACATAGGAATTTATTGTAGACAAGGGGAAGCCCTGTCCCCGCTTGAAATGTATGAGCGAGAATTGGGTTTGTAGTAATGACAAGTCGATATTCTTCAGAGCCCGTCGGAAGTAAGGCGCCTGCCTTTGCCGGTGAAGCAAAGATATCTTTATTGGCGCGGAAAGCGAATGCAGAAGTCAGTCTTCCGTGCAATGCCCAAGGCCATCCTCCTCCCGTGTCTAGGTATACAATATTTAATAAGGATTCGAGTAACATCGATCTCTCAACGTGATAGTGACTTCGTTTTATAGACGATTTTTATTTGTAAAAGCCATTCTGTAAATATCGAAGTCCAGAAATTATTTGGAAAACATTTAAAGTACGTACATGCAAATTACGTATATATTGAAATATCATATATTTCTGGCACTTTTGTGTAGTTTGCAATGTTACGTTTACTTCTTATATAAAGCGGACGGAGCTCGGTTGAATTTTCTTTCGCATCTTTCACGGAACAATCGCCGCGGAAAGGGGAACTCTGTCCGAGGGTTCAGTTGTACAAAGCCACGCACATTTCTTTTCGTGACGTCTTTTATTCTCTCATTTAGAGCCGATGGGAAGCAAAGCGCCCGCATTTATTGGAGACGTAAAAACGTTCTCTCTCGTTCGTAACCGCGGGTTGGAAGTGAGCCTGCTATGTAACGCGCAGGGGCATCCTATTCCTGTAACCAGGTACCGAATAATTGCATTGTCATTGACAGCTTCCCGTCACATGACATGTGCCTTCGTAGTTCAACATCTCATCGTAATACTATTAGCAATAAGTGAGGAATCTAACGAATTCCAGTGTAGTCGTTCCATTTCCCCGCTTTTGAAGCGTTGAAATCCGATGTAGTGCGATAATTGCTTCGTACCCTTGGGTGTAATTAGAACCAGTCGCCACGAAGAAGCCGAAGTTCTCGAGCGAGTCAAAGCTGGCTTGGTACGATCGCGTACGAGGAGACAATCTGACCCTGT